ATTCAATGACATTAAATACGAGAATGAAACTGAACTTTCTAAGCATGTTTGGAAACTAAAACTAAATAGAAAACAATTTAATATCAAGTGGTCCATCTTATCCAACGCAACAACTTAACCGTATTAATATGTTGCCTGATGATTGCTTGTAGCATGAAACTTAAAGTAGCAACTTATTCAATTGAAAAATTGTATTAAAATATTAAATTATTATTATATGCTCTACAATTGTCTTGTATTGAGCACTCTTTATTCTTAAAAACGGGAAATTACTTTATGAAATTATATATTGTATTGAGCACTCTTTATTCTTAAAAACGGGAAATTACTTTATGAAATTATATATATATTTATATATATATATATATATATATATATATATATATATATATATATATATATATATATATATATATATATATATATATATATATATATATATATATATATATAAGCTTGTCCAATCAGAGAACTAAATTTGTACCACATGACCATGGTATTTTTCAGCGAATACTATGACCTAGGCAATTTGAACACTGGGTGTTTTACCCGGGGCCATGGTATTCGACTTCGAATACCACGCTTGAGCGGGAAATTCGACTTTTTTAAATGTACAGTTATCAAAAGTTGTGTTTTGAAATTAAAAGTTAATTGAATGGTATTTGTTTTCTACTTATTTTTGAAAGGTTCGGTATAATATACCATTTATAGACCTTTCACTCGGGGTATTCCACAAAAAATTACCCTGCGGGATGAAATATTCCTATATATATATATATATATATATATATATATATATATATATATATATATATATATATATATATATATATATATATGTATCACAAGTTTTGTAACGTATAGTGAAGAGAGTGCTCAATACATAAAATTTTGTAGAGCGAATGTAATTACTATTCTTACTTAAAATGTTTTTTTGTCTCTTTTTTTAAAAAACATTTTAAGTAAGAATAGTAATTACATATATATGAAATAATGAATGTTTATGAGTGCAATGGTAAGAATATTTTCATGAGGTGAAAGATGGAATGTTCCATTCAACGAGGCAACAGCCGAGTTGAATGGAACATTCCATCTTTCACCGAATGAAAATATTCTTACCATTGCACGAAGAAACATTCATTATTTGTTTTATATAATACCAAAATAGACTAATAGATTCGTATGAGAAGCATTTTGAGGGATGCGATTTATCGAAAACACAAAGAGTGCAATTGTACCATACGTTTTATTCCATTGCACTCGCAGAGAGTGTAATGGAACGTATTCCATTGCACTCTTGGCAAATGGAATTTTCTATTCAGTATCACGTGACCATAAACAGCCAATTAAACGATCAGAATTCAATAAGGTATTATATAATATGGTATGGTATGGTATGGTAGGGTATGGTATGGTATGATATGGTATGGTATAGTATGATATAGTATAGTATGGTATGGTATAGTATGGTATGTTATAGTATGGTATGATATGGTATAGTATGGTATGGTATGGTATAGTATGGTTTGGTATCGTATGGTATGGTATATATGGTATGGTATAATATGGTATGGTATGGTATAGTATGGTATGATACAGTATGGTATAGTATAGTATGGTATAGTATGGTATGGTATATTATAGTATGGTATGGTATAGTATAGCATGGTATGGTATAGTATGGTATGGTATAGTATGGTATTGTATGGTATAGTATGGTATGGTATAGTATGGTATGGTATAGTATGGTATGGTATAGTATGGTATTGTATAGTATGGTATGGTATAGTATAGTATAGTATGGTATGGTATAGTATAGTATGGTATAGTATGGTAAAGTATGGTATAGTATACAAATAATGAATGTTTATGAGTCCATCTTTCACCGAATGAAAATATTCTTACTATTGCACGAAAAAACATTCATTATTTGTTTTATATAATACCAAAAGTCCAGAACAGACTAATAGATTCGTATGAGAAGCATTTTGAGGGATGCGATTTATCGAAAACACAAAGAGTGCAATTGTACTATACGTTTTATTCCATTGCACTCGCGGAGAGTGCAATGGAACGCGTTCCATTGCACTCTTGGGAAATGGAATTTTCTATTCAATATCACGTGACCATAAACAGCCAATTAAACCATTAGAATTTAATAAGGTATTATATAATATAGTATGGTATAGTATAATATGGTATAGTATAGTATGGTATAGTATAGTATAGTATAGTATGATATAGTATAATATGGTATAGTATAATATGGGATGGTATGGTATGGTATAGTATGGTATGGTATGGTATAGTATAGTATGGTATAGTATAGTATGGTATAGTATAGTATGGTATTGTATAGTACGGTATAGTATAGTATGGTATAGTATAGTATGGTATGGTATAGAACAAAATGGCGGATTTTTCTAACTTTGAATCACTATATCTTTGGTCTTCCAAATGGTCATATTTTGAAACAAACTTTAGCTTTAGGATTCCTACCACATGCACTTCCAAATAAATACATAATAGTAGAGCAGTTGCCAATTTTTAGATTTTTGGCGCCAAGTTTGTGACGTCATTGTCCCGCCAAAATTTCCAAAAACAAGAACGACATGATTTGTAAGAATGATATATTGATATGTTCTATGACTATGTTCGTCGAAAATTTTGTACAAGAAGGATGGAAGAAAGAAGTTACAACACCTCTGGCAAATTTGGAGTACTTTATGCCAGGCGTGGTGAAAACAAGTGAGCACATACGTTTGTTATGGCTCTGTATATTTATCAAGCTTTGCAAATGTACTAAATTTTCATTGGTAATAATTGACATTCCTGATAAATATTGATTGAGATAAATGGCTTTATGTCCAAGAATAAGCAACACAAGTAGGCTACAATCATGGAAATTAATTCGTAGACTTTTCAAAAATTTCCCAAATTCCCCCCTCCCCGTTTACAATGTTGGTTTGTGGTCCAATAGACATGGTTTGAACCAACATTGTGCCAGGAGGAGGGGGGAGTTACTATTTCTAGCAATCACGAACGTTTGTATTAACTAAAAATAAATGGCTTTACAAAATAGTAAGACAAGATACGTTTTAAAAAGTCTAAGGATATTATTTCCATGATTGTAGTGGGCAGGTATTCTGATTCAGAAAGACAGAAATATTTGTCATCACAAGTACTAAGCGGGTTTCAGTCGGAGTTTACGGGGCAGCAGATGGTGGTCAATTTCAGAAGACGGTCCCATAAGAGGGCGGGCGGGGGTCTAAATCCCCCAGCTAAGTTTGACCAAATCCCAGACCCAACTGTGAAATTGAAGAAAAATTCCTGATCAGGTGGTTCATCTATGGATATGACCGAAGCCATGCAATGCTAGACATGCTACCTTCAATTACTTTCCTTGGTTGTGGATACACAATAATACGTCATTAGTTGAAAAATGTCTCGCTAGCTCAGGGAGCCCACCCCATGTCTTATTATAATAGATATAATATTACATATTAAAATAGTTCAGTGTGGAAGAGCGCTCAGGCCCTGTATTCCCGCACGAAACCAGCAGAAAAACAGGGCTATGTAATGCTATAATAAGATCCCATCATGAGCTCCATCTTTGAATTTACTATATGAGTAAATTCTTAAAAACGTCCGAATTTATCATTATGATAAATTCGCGGGACATTTTACATTTATCATAATGATAAATTCGCGGCATCTAACCCCTAACATTAAGTATTAACCCTAACCACTAACCCCTAACTTTTTAAACTTTTTTGAAAGCCTAACTTTTCAAACTTTTTTTTCTTTTTAAAACTTTTTTAAACTTTCTTTTCGAAAATCTTGAAAATCTCGAATTCAAATTATTATGTACTATTTAAAGAACTTGTGTTTCATAGAAATTGTGGGATATGAGAATATAAAATGAAGTTTGTAAAAATATATATAAAACTCCTCGGTTTTTCATGTCTTGCTTAGTTCTCGAAATACTGAAAACAATGGCTACCCATCAATTTTGGATTATTTTTTAATCTCATTTAGTCTGGTTTTTACGGTGGCCTATAGTTGTCACTGAATATAAAATCAAAAACAGGAAAATAATAAAAAAAATCAATTCAATGATGGCCAGCGTCAGCGGTTCTTCATTTTCGCCAGTAGTTCATGTAAGAAATATATGATGGGTGCACAAAACTGCTCGTGTCTCGTGATTCGATTTATTTTTATACTTTTAAAATTTAAACGCCTGTTCATGCAGCTTGTGGAGATAGCCTTTGTTCGATTTGTCGAAATGGTATGTATCATGTATTGTATACGATTCATTGTCATTTGTCAAGAGACCTTGCTTTCAACTAAATGTTGCTGGCTGCAGAAAAAGGCACATACCTGTTTACATCTTGAACCTGTCTGTGCCAGTGTAGGTATAGTGCCAATAATATTAAAAGCTTTTGTTGGTAGGGACTAGGGATTCAACTAATTGAAAAATATAAGGAGAATTTCGACGTTTCAAGCGAAGGCCCAGTACGTAACTCCGCTCGAAACTCGAAATTCTCCTTATATTTTTCTGGCAGTTGCATCCCTACCAACAAAAGCTTGTTAATATTATTGGCACTACCTACACTGGCACAGACAATTCAAGATGTAAACAGATATATGCCTTTCTGCACCCTGCAACATTTATTTGAAAGCAAGGTCTCTTGACAAATGACAATGAAGTATGAAAATAAGTCGAATCACAAGCAGTTTAATGCACCCATCATTGAAGAACCGCTGACCAAACCGCTGGCCATCATTGAATTATTTTTTGATTTTTTAACATTATTTTCCTGTTTTTTATTTTATATTCGCGGTGGCAACTATGGGCCACCGTAGTGCGGTTTTGGTGACGTCCAAAGCAGGCTTAGCAACAAAAACTCTACTCCTATCCGACCAAATAAAAAATAGTAAATGCTGAAAACGTTGTCAGTCAAATTGGTATTTCGGAAATAGTGACCGAAGTATAATTTTGGCCTCATAATGACCATTGCATATCTGGGTAAAATATTTGCGTGACCTTGCTTGTGACGTCACATGAATATCCACAATCATCCAAGATGGCGGACAGCTCACTGATTTTTATGATGAGGGGCAAGGGTATTTCGTGACTCGTGATTAGCAATTATTCGTGCTTCGTGATTCGTGATTTAAAGAAACACCATTCCGTGAATCGTGATTAATATGGGTGCCGTGAATCGTGAAGAGCTAAAGGCGAGCTAGGGTCTTGAATTTACCAATATTTTACCCTAACTTGTGAATGTTTACGTTTAAAACTCGACCCAAATTTAATATTATGGGGGGAAAATGAATAAATTTGCTTCCTAAATTTTCTTGAGGTTTCTTCGTTTTATCGGTAAACGTCGTTATCGTATACCTTCGTACCTCTTCGAAAACTTCGTGAACCATCGTACGACGCTCGTAATGTTTCGTAATGCCTCGCAATGATTTCCATAGACCTTTAAACGGTTCTAATGTTAAAGTTAGTATGTGTTAAATGGTTTCAGATTTTGTTACACTTCGGTGTTTCTAAAAATCGTGAAAATAAAATTTTGGGTTTCGTGACATCGAAAAATGATCTTCGTGATTTTGTGATGAGCCCCCCTTGCCCCGCCCCTCCTCCCCCCTTCTCCCCCCTCCCCTAGATGATTTTGGTAAAAATGTTTCGAGAACTAAGTAACATTTGAAGAAGTTATAAAAATGTTTTCTATTTAATTTTAAAAGTTCTTAATTCAAATAAGACCGCAACTAAATTTTTATAGCCATTTGGCAACCTTTAAGTAAGGCAAGTTCATCAACCTTCTGTATTGTGAAATTTGCTGAGAATTTTCCAGGGGTGAAAACTGATGGGGTTGCCCTCCTTACTTTTTACACTTCCTATCCTCCACAGCCAGGAAACGAAGTAAGAAAGATTAAGACAGAAAGTTTTCATTTTATAAACATCTAAAACCCAACGTATACATACTATTTAAATTAATAGCATTATATTCTAAGCGTTGTCATTTCAAATTAATCAGTGTTCATTGATCACTGTTAAATTATTTACTCTGTATACACGCATGTTTTCTTTGTATGTTACTACGTGCTTGCTTGCTTACACTTATACGGCTGCAATCTCTTTAATTAACTGGCTCATTTTTTGCTGGGAAATATTTTTTCTTGAGCAACTGATAATTTCTTCGTGTGAAGACAAACGCAATACCAATGTAGGCACCAGTAAGCAAAGTTACAGTATATAACGCTATCTTTATGTCAAAATTAAAATCCACGATTCTAGATATGAAGAGAGGAAACCAATAACTTAAGGCTGTAGTGGTTGACAGCTTGAGCAATATCACAAATTTACGACGCTTAACAATATTCGATTTCTGTGCAATGTTCCGGCTTGCCTTGAGTTTTTGGCGAATTCGATAAGCAGTGAAGATAAACATTCCAATAATGTACAACAAAAGACAACCTTGAAGACCATAGACATCAATAGCAGCTGACCAATCTGGAGTAATTCGACCATTGATACAATCTCCAGAAATATGTTGATAAATCCTTGCATCATCTTCTTTCGTATCTCCATGCGCAAAAACAATGCGTTCATAAAACTTTAGGCGTGACTGAACATCTTTCTTCAAAGATGCAATAGGTTTAATAATCCTTAATGTATCGTCTTCCGTCGCATCCTCCTTCGAGAATACAGTGACAAAAATACTACAAGGTAAGTCTGCCACAACAGCAAGGCGAAGCTTAAACTCATTAAATTCAAACCAGGAAGTGTGCGCAGTTCTGGAAGCATGCAGTAAACTATCAACAACAATAGCAAAGAAATAATAGAAAGCGCTAAAGCACATAATGGTGCTATAATAATCTTAAAGTTTGTAATTACGTAAATTGGTCTCAAGTTTTCTTCCGCATACATAAGGTTTGCTGTCTATCACCGCATAGTCATTTCTTTTGAAATATTGACCGTTATCTGCCGAATACACAGCAAACTGCTTTGTCACAGTGTAGTATCTTGCATTTAATTTATAAGAACGATAACAGGATGCGCGTAATGACTTTTGCCATGTATTTCGAGTTCTCCAAATGTCCTGAACTCGTGAATAATTGGAACCACACATTTCAAGACTGTCGTGGCTAAATCGATATTCGCGATAATCGTATATTTTTTTGTTGTAAACGAGCGAAAAGTTTTCAAAAACATTGTATCCTTCACCGTACTTTACTCCGACCAAATAATCATTGCAGGACAATCTGATCTTTGCCGAACAAACTGCAAAATACCCCAAAATCACTCCGTAATCTTCCCTTGTGAAATTCTGTTTGGTAGGTTTAAAGAAAACAGTAAAGTTTGTATCTAATGTGTAATTTTCGGAGTAAAAACCGTCCACAGATACATTACAATGGCTGAAAGCTTTCGTTATCTTTTCTGTAAGAATGAAATGCCTCCATTTTTCTTTCATGTGACGGTCAGAAGAATTACAAACTTGTAGACCATCGTCCGTGATTCTGTATTCGTCATAATAGTACATTTGACCTTGGTACATGATTGAAAAGTTGTTCCATACTCTGTATTCATCTTCATACTTTATAGTAAATGTAAAATTGGCGCATTCGGTCACACATGTTATAAGTTTACCTTCAAACACACCATAGTCGTACTTTGTTCTCAACTGCTTTCTTACCAAAATGTGTACTCTAAAATCTTTAAGAACAGTGTATTCCCATTGGTCGAACTGAATGTGTGTAATGGGTTTACTACAACTTTTTAAATGCATTGTCGGCTTTACCCATTTATTACGTACTTTCCAAATATTCCTTACGTAGTTATCAGTGGAATTACAAATCTTTATGCCGTCATTCAGAACTCGATACTCAGTATAACGGTACACCTTGTTCTTAAAGAGCATTGAAAAATCAGTTCCAACTTTATATTCATCATCGTATTTTATGTTGATGATTGAATCGTTGCACATTGATAGATCTTCCCGGGTATACTCTGTTGATATCGGTCCGTTCTTTTCTTTGCATATAATAGGTTTACCGTCTATCACCCCGTAATCATTTCTTGTGAAATATTGACCATGACCTCCCGAATAGACAGTGAACTGCTTATTCACAGCGTAATACTCTCTGTACAACCCAAAGTATGTGGATTTATTGCAACTTTTAAAATGCATTAGTATCCTTACCCAGTAATTACGCAGTTTCCAAGTACTCTTTATGTAGTTGTCCGTAGAGTTACAAATTTTTATGTCATCATTCAAAACTCGATACTCAGTGTAATCGTATACCTCGTCCTTATAGCGTATTGAAAAGTCAGTCCGAACTTTGTATTCATCATCGTATTTTATATTGATGATTGAATCGTTGCACATTAATAGATCATCCTGGGTATACTCTCTTGATATGGGTCTGAACTTTTCTTCGCATATAATAGGTCTACCATCTATCACCCCGTAGTCATTTCTTGTGAAATATTTACCATGACCTCCAGAATAGACAGTGAACTGCTTATTTACAGCGTAATACTCTCGGTGTAACCCAAAGTATGTTGATTTATTGCAACTTTTAAAATGCATTAGTGCCCTCACCCAGTAATTACGTAGTTTCCAAATATTCCTTATGTAGTTGTCAGTGGAGTTACAAATCTTCATGCCATCATTCAGAACTCGATACTCAGTATAATCGTACACCTTGTTCTTATAGAGTATTGAAAAGTTATTCCAAACTTTGTAATCATAATCGTATTTGATATTGATGACGGAATCGTTGCACATTAATATATCTTCCCGGGTATACTCTCTTGATGTGGGTCTTAACTTTTCTTTGCATATTGTAAGTTTACCGTTTGTCACCGCATAGTCATTTCTTCTCAAATATTGACCGTTAAATGCCAAATAGACAGTGAACTGCTTATTCACGGCGTAAAACTCTTGGTACAACTCAAAGCCGTCAAAGTGTGTGGATTTATCGCAACTTTTATAATGCATTGTCGCCTTTACCAATTTATTACGCAGTTGCCAAAAATCCCTTACGTCCTTATCAGTGGAGTTGCACATTTTTATGCTATCATTCAGAACTCGATACTCAGTATAATCGTACACCTTGTTCTTATAGAGTATTGAAAAGTCAGTCCGTACTTTGTATATATCGTCGTATTTTATAATGATGACTGAATCATTGCACGTTGATAGATCTTCCTGGGTATACTCTGTTGATATGGGTTTTAACTTTTCTTCGTATGTTAAAGGTTTACCGTCTCTCACCGCATAGTCATTCCTTTTGAGATATTGACCACGACGTCCCAAATAGATAGTGAACTTCTTATTCACAGCGTAAAACTTTGGAGATAACAACGCAGTGTATGCATATATATGGTCCCAATCGTGAATTGCACTAATCAGAACTCCTCTTAACGCCATTACTTGGTAATTACGTACTTCCCAAGTATTCCTTACGTAGTTATCAGTGGAATTACAAATCTTTATGCCATCATTCAGAACTCGATACTCAGTATAACGGTACACCTTGTTCTTATGGAGTATTGAAAAGTCAGTCCGAACTTTATATTCATCATCGTATTTTATATTGATGATTGAATCGTTGCACATTAATAGATCTTCCCGGGTATACTCTGTTGATATCGGTCTGTTCTTTTCTTTGCATATAATAGGTTTACCGTCTTTCACCGCATAGTCATTTCTTGTAAAATATTCACCATGACTTCCCGAATAGACAGTGAACTGCTTATTCACAGCGTAATACTTTCGGTTCAACGTAATGTGTGTACTGGATTTATTGCAATTTTTATACTGATGCATTGTCGCCTTTACCCATTTATTACGTACTTCCCAAACATTGCGTACGTAGTTATCGGTGGAGTTACAAATCTTCATGCTATCATTCAGAACTCGATACTCAGTATAATCGTACACCGTGTTCTTATAGTGTATTGAAAAGTCAGTCCGAACTTTGTATTCACCATCGTATTTGATATTGATGATTGAATCATTGCATATCAATAGATCTTCCTGGGTATACTCTGTTGATATCGATCTGTTCCTTTCTTTGCATATAATAGGTTTACCGTCTTTCACCGCATAATCATTTCTTGTAAAATATTCACCATGGCTTCCCGAATAGACAGTGAACTGCTTATTCACAGCGTAATACACTTGGTTCAGCGTAATGTATGTACTGGATTTATTGCAACTTTTATAATGCTTTGTCGCCTTTACCCATTTATTACGTACTTTCCAAATATTGCGTACGTAGTTATCAGTGGAGTTACAAATCTTTATGCCATCATTCAAAACTCGATACTCAGTATAATCGTACACCTTATTCGTATAGAGTATTGAAAAGTCAGTCCGAATTTTGTATTCATCATCGTATTTGATATTGATGGTTGAATCGTTGCACATTGACAGATCTTCCAGGGTATACTCTCTTGATATTGGTCTGTATTTTTCTTTGCATGTTTTAAGTTTACCGTAGATCACCTTATAGTTATTTCTTGTAAAATATTGACCATAACTTCCAGAATAGACAGTGAACTGCTTATTTACAGCGTGATACTGTCGGTGCAACTTTATAATGATGGGTTTATTGCAACTTTTATGATGCATTCTCGGCTTTACCCAGTAATTACGTACTTTCCAAATGTTCCTTACGTGGTTATCAGTGGAGTTACATATCTTTATGCTATCATTCAGAACTCGATACTCAGTATAATCGTACACCTTGTTCTTATAGAGTATTGAAAAGTCAGTCCGAACTTTGTATTCATCGTCGTATTTGATAGTGATGATTGAATCATTGCACATTGATAGATCTTCTTGGGAAAACTCCGTTGATATGGATCTTAACTTTTCTTTGCATATTCTCAGTTCACCATCAATCACCGCATAGTCATTTCTTGTGAAATATTGACCGTAACCTGCCAAATAGACAGTAAACTGCTTACTCACAGTGTGATACTCTCTGTACAACCAAATGGTTTTAATGGATTTATTGCAATGTTTATAATGCCTTGTCGCCTTTACCCATTTATTACGTAGATTCCAAATATTCCTCATGTAGTTGTCAGTGGAGTTACAAATCTTTATGCTATCATTCAGAACTCGATACTCAGTGTAATCGTACACCTTGTTCTTATAGAGTGTTGAAAAGTCAGTCCGAACGTTGTATTCATCGTCGTACTTGATCTTGATGATTGAATCGTTGCACATTGATAGATCTTCCTGGGTATACTCTCTTGATGCAGGTCTGTAGTTTTCTTCGCATATTTTAGGTTTACCGTCTATCACCGCATAGTCATTTCTTGTAAAATATTTACCATGACTTCCCAAATAGACAATAAACTGCTTATTCACAGTGTAATACTTTCGGTTCAACTCGAAATACATGATTGGTTTATTGCAATTTTTATATTGCATTGTCGCCTTTACCCAGTAATCACGTACTTTCCAGGTATTACGAACGTAGTTATCAGTGGAGTTACAAATCTTTATGCCATCATTCAGAACTCGATACTCAGTATAATCGTACACCTTGTTCTTATAAAGTATTGAAAAGTCAGTCCGTACTTTGTATCCATCGTCGTATTTGATATTGATGATTGAATCGTTGCACATTGATAGATCTTCCTGGGTATACTCCGTTGATATGGATCTTAACTTTTTTTTGCATATTTTAAGTTTACCATCCATCACCGCATAGTCATTTCTTGTGAAATATTGACCGTAACCTGCCAAATAGACAGTGAACTGCTTATTCACAGTATAATACTTTCTGTGCAACCAAATGGTTCTAATGGATTTGTTGCAACTTTTACGATGTTCCTTTACCCAGTCATTACGCAGTTTCCAAATATTCCTCATGTAGTTATCAGTGGAGTTACAAATCTTTATGCTATCATTCAGAACTCGATACTCAGTATAATCGTACACCTTGTTCTTATAGAGTATTGAAAAGTCAATCCGAACTTTGTATTCATCGTGGTATTTTATATTTATTACGGAATCGTTACACATTAATAGATCTTCCTGGGTATACTCTGTTGATGTGGGTCTGTAATATTCTTTGCATATATAAGGTGTACCGTCTTTCACCGAATAGTTCTTTCTTGTGAAATATTGACTCCTAGACGGGAAATAAACAGTGAACTGCTTATTCACGATGTAGTATTTTGCATCTGATAATTTATCAACAGATCCGCGACATGTATACCGGTCTTTAAACTTTTCCCACGAATTACGAGTTGTCCAAATAACGCGAACTCTTGAATCATTGGAAGCACAAAGTTCAAAACCCTCGTTTCCGAATCGATATTCACGATAATCGTAGATCTTGTTGTTATGAAACAGCGAAAAATTTTGCGAAACATTGTATTGACCACCGTACTTCACTTTAGCCAAGCCATCATTGCACGACAAATTAAGCTTTGCTGAACAAATTACAAAATACCCAAAAATCACTCCGTAATCTTGCCTTGTGAAACTTTGCTCAGTTGGTTTGAAGAAAAGAGTAAAATTTCTGTATAATGTGTACTTGGAGTGATAAAATCCGTCCACGGATACATTACAATGCTGGGCAGCGATCACTTCCTTTTCATGAGCAATCAAATCCTGCCATCCTTGTTTAATACGGGGGTCAGAGGAATTACAAACTTGTAGACCACTGTCTGTTACTCTGTAGTCGTTATAACGGTACATTCGACTTTGATACATCATTGAAAAGTTCTTCCATACACTGTATTTATCTTCATACTTTATAGTAAAGGTAAAATTGGCGCATTCGGTCGGACCCACCATGCTTTCTGAGAATGCATCAATTTCACGTCTGCTCCGGAGATGTTGAGTTGTGAGTGAAGCAAACGTCTCTCTTTTGGATATTCCTCTCTTGTCATTCTGGTGAAAACGTTGATTTTCCAATGAAGATATGATTTTGCCGCCATTTCTTTGCCATTTTTTCTCACTTGAGTGGGAGATGGAATTTGTGGATTCTACGCTTAAAAAGTTTATCTCAGACGAAGGAGTTGAAGGAGGCGGTTGTGAGCTCTTCCGTATTCTATCACTTCGGAGTGTTTTTATCGCTGTTTCTATAAACGAAATTATATTAATTAATTATTATTATTATCTTCTTCCAAACTACGAACATTCTCAGATTTTTAAAATTTACCTTTTGTAACCATCTTTGAAAGATCAGATTTCTTCCGTGCCTTGTTGCTGTCAACTTGTTTCGCATTTTCTGTCAAGTTAGAAACGCGTTCGTCTTGTTCGAGAAAAACGTCATCATTCAAGCGTTTACTTTTGAATTCATCTTTTAATTCGCTCGGCTCTGTTTTACCTTCTCGCCTATCATACCCCGAACCACCACCATTATAAAAACAGGCGAAAATGAGACAGAAACAAAGAAAAATGGCTCGTTCCCCCAATCGAAAACTAAAGCCACGAACCATGTTGCAACTGCATGCAAGCGTCGTTAAGCAACTGTGTATTATTTCGGCAAAACACAAAGTTTAAGACGTTTTCAAGTTTGTGAGGGTTTTTTATGACACCAGCTGTTCTACTGCATATAATGGCACACTCGAAACGCATGTTTTGTTGCTCGCGTGTGTGCGATCAACAAGTTTTCCTTGACAAGGTTTGTTGCTTTTCATTTTAGTTTCTTGAAATTTAAATTTTTTTTCAAAAAAAAAAAATTTATTTTGGCATTATTGAATTTTCTGTCTTATTATGCAATGTGCAAAATTTGAACATATAATTGGACACTCGAAACGCAAGTTTTGTTGCTCGTGCGTGCGGTCAACAAGAGTTCCTTGATAAGTTTCCCTTGACAAGGTTGGTTGCTTTTTGTCTTAAAAGAATTATTTTTCTTTAACTTTAATTTTTTTTGGCAATATAGAATTTTATTTGGCATTATGGAATTTCAGTTCTGTTTTATTATACAATGTGCAAAATTTGAACATATAATTTATGTCTCATGCAATCAAGCGGGACATTAAAATATGCATGGCGCCTTGTTTTCATTATGAAATAAAGCAGATGGTTTTTTTTTTTAATATTGGTTAATATTTCCGCACACATACACATGCAGGTTTATTGGCAATTCACAAGAAATTTCGTGAGCTAGCATTTATATGCCCATGCAGTCACCTTATGCAGACACCTTGAAACAGATGTCCTTTTAATATAGAACTTTGCCTATGTTTCTATTCATCTTTTTAATTGGGCTGACGATAGTGTGTCGTTGCCTCGTAGGAACAAGTATCCAAGTGTTAATTAACATAACTGTCAAATAATTCAAATCTTATAGCGTGCTCAAGAATATGTCTTACTAACTAGGTTACCCACAGGGCAGTAATGCTGCCTTCGACAGCAAAAGACAAACTATAGGGTGTTGAACGAGTCCTTCAGAAACATCCTATTATTGTTGTCCTTGCAGGTTAACCCATTTATTGACAGTACCCTACCACTGACTGAGTATTAAAAATCGTCTGGCGTTGGACAGGGTAAATACTAAAGTAGGGGTCATTACTGTGCTGATGGATTAACAAGAGACATTGGCAGATAGGTTTGTTAACCCATTTACTGGCATTACCCTATATCACTGACGAGTAAAATCTTCTGGCGCTGGACAAGGGAAGGGCGCATTGCCAGCTAATCCTGGGAACGATGTTGAAACCACCGTGGTTAAACATAAGATTTGATGCTCCAGGAAATATAAACAAGCTATCAGTGTAACATCCCAGTTTATATATTTATATACTCGGAATATTGATTTCTCGGTATATACAAAATTATTTTAAAGTATAACAACCAGCGAAGAAGTAAGCCACTAACTACCCTGCGCGGCTGCGTGCAGATTATATAATGACACTATGTCATCCGTCCTGTCCGTCCGGTCCGTCCGTCATTCATCCGTCATTCATCCGTCCATCCGTATCCGCGTTTTATCCTACCCGTTTTTAAAACACAAAGTTTGCATAATTAAGGCTCGTCATGATCAACATTTTCAAAAGCGGCCAATTAGACCAGGGGTTAAAGGTCAATGACAATGAGATGCAAGTGACATTTAACATTGCGTCTCACTAATTAAAGTTTGCGTGTTTAATAATGTTTATCAAAGAAAGCAAAAATATATACAAGACTACTGGGTGCCAGAGGTTTTTCCACGCTCGCAACGCAAAAAAATATAGTGACGGACGGGCGAGCGGGAAAAACCTCTGGAACCATGCACGCTATCTCAGATCACGCCGATCCAATCAAAACGCTGGAATGGCCGTTTTCAGTCAGAATATCGGATGTAACTTTTGATTGGTGGAATACCGTGGAAATGGCAAAAACCTATCTAACGAGCATTCTTACTGGACAGTGAGCCTCTGCAGGTAAAATTTTCTCATCGTTCAGAAGTCGACCTCTGTTTACATTTGGCTGGGTAAAACTGTAAAATGCCTGTACTTTCGCGAGAGGATTTTTCTACTTGTGTAAATAATGTTTTAAAGAAATTTCCAGAAGTTTCCCAGCTTAATAACTATCAAGCTGAATGCTTATTCAATTTCATCGAACGGCGCGACGTCTTTGCCATGTTGCCAACCGGCTTTGGCAAATCTCTAATTTTTCAAATGGTGCCAGGTTTGTGTGAAGAGCTTCACCTTATGGGCTACAAGGCATTCCCTGCGAAGGCTATTGTGCTAGTACTGTGCCCGTTAGTTTCGTTAATGGAATCTCATGTGCGAGAATTGACGAAAAGAGGATTTACTTGTATTTGTTTATCGAAAGATGGCGCTACCAAAGAGAAACAAAATATTCATGATGGCAAGTATTCGTTCGTGTTTGCAAGCCCTGAGTCCGTTATACTGAATGACCAATGGCGTAAAATGCTTCAGACTAACATTTATCAGGAAAATCTGCTTGGAATTGTGACTGATGAGGCACATGTTATTCCTAAATGGTAGGTATGTAATTCTTCAGGGTGCGAGTTGCTTGCTCAGGCAGTAAAATACAAGTTGTACGTCTAGTCATTTCGTTTAAATTAAAAAACATTAATAATATTAATATAATAATATTACAAAATATCGTTGAAATACAATAATGAGCGCCCAGAATTTCAGAAGAGCTTATACCCAATGTATTTGTATGTATTTTTGACATTATTATTATTATCAGTATGTACGTATTTTTATATTATTTGTATGTATTTTTATATTATTATTTGTATGTATTTTTGATAGTATTATTTCAAATGTATATATCAGGTTGCCAAGCAAAGTGTTTACTAAAATATTCATCTCGCCTAGGCCTAGGGGAGATTTCTGAGTTTCTGTATCTGGTCGTCTTTCTGCGTTTCTGTATCATGTTAACAGTAAGACTCGCAGAGTACACAGAGTAACTCGCCTTGCTGGGTAACTTGCCTCCATATACAGTATTATAAAAAGGCTGACAAATTTACTATGCATAAAAAGCCTGCACGTGAAAGGACAATGGGCTATTCCATTTAATATCCGTAACACCCCCCCCCCCCCATCGATATGAGGACCTTGGAATTCTTCAGGAGTAAGGTAATTTTTAACTTTGGAATTCCTCATGGGTAAACAAATTCTCCTGTGAAATTCTTCAGGGGTTGGTTATTTTGAATGAGATTTCCTCAGGGGTCAGATGTAAAAAGTGAAATTCTTCAGGGTAAATACTTATTTCTTCAAGGGGTAAATGCTATTTAACAGGAATTTTTCAGGGGATATCTCTTTTATGTCAGGAATTCTTCAGGGATATTGTAAAACCCTTGTCCTCTATTAGGGGGTTACGTCTTTTAAATGGAATAGCCCAATGCTGACTGGTTCATACAATAACCATATCATATCACAAACATAAATGCTAGTACCAATAAAATAATGCTCCTTTGAACTGTAGTAATTACAAATATGAAACACACTAAACTAAATTAGTGCTTTTTTTATTAACAGGGGTTATGGGAATACAAAAGAACGAATGATGGCTTTTCGTGATTGCTTCAGTCACATAGGTGAGCTTCGCTCCCTTGTACCAGATATTACACCCATCCTTGCTCTTACAGCAACCGCTACCCAGAAAACAATGGAAATGGTAAAATCTGTGTTAAGTCTGAAAAGTGATAATTATACAGTAACAGTTAGTCCTAATCGAGCGAACATATACCTATATAAAGCAAAGGTAAACAATAGTTTGGGTGCACCATTTGGGTGGTTGATAGACATGTTGAAGAGTGAACACGTTCTGTGTCCAAAAGTAATTGTATACTGCAAGGCAGTCAAAGATTGTGGCAAATTATTTAACTTTTTTAAAGACTCTTTGCAAGAATTAGTGTATGTTCATGGCAAAGAGCATGTTGCAGAAAATATGATCATTGGTATGTTTCACCACAACACCCTTGATAAATATAAGGAAAGGATAATTAATTTCTTTTATGTTCCTGATGGGGTTTGCAGAGTTGCATTTGCAACAAATGCATTGGGCATGGGCATTAAATTTGCAAATGTTAGGTATGTTGTTCATTATGGCCCCCCTAGAAGTGTTGAAGATTTTGTCCAGGAAATTGGTCGTGCTGGTCGTGATGGTAAATCTTCCACATCTGTCCTTCTGTATCAAGGGAAACATCTGTGTAGATGTGAAAGAAAAGTGAAAGAATATGCAAAAAGCAACACCTGTTTGCGGTCAATTCTATTATCTGAATTTGGAGTTAGTAAGCCAGACAACATTACTGCCCATGATTGTTGTTTGGCTTGTCATAAAAAATGTTGCTGTGTTGAAGATGATTCTTTATGTAACAAGGATGTTCCCCTATTATTACACGAACTCCATACTCAAGGGATCAAGTCTGTAAATCCTGCCAAAAAGCGTAATGTTGGAAAGAATGATCTTTGCTTGCTTGAAGAGCTGTTAAGGGACTATCAGAAAGAACTAGCATCTGGGTGCCCATCGTTTTACTTGTCTCCAGAGTGCACAACAGGATTCAGTGACACTCCTGTTAAAGCAGTTCTTTCAAAAGCAAAATATATTTTTACTGTGGAATACATTTTAGAGAGTCTACCTGTTTTCAAATTTGAGCATGGAGTTGCAATTCTTCACATGGTAGCAGATATTTTTGAGGACTTTGAAGTAAATATTGATCCTGCATATGAAAAGACTACAAGTGATACCGATTTTAATTATGACTTAGAATATGGTGGTAACTATGGAGGTGAAGGAACATCAAGTGAATCTGATGAAACTGAGGATTCTGAAACTGATGTGTAATGCTAAATGATTGAATATGTTGCACTGTACATCGTTGCATGGTAAGTCTAAAAATTCCATTGGTAATATTGGTCCATATTACAGATTAAAGTAAAATAATTAACACTTATTTACTGTGGTAGTCTCCAAGAGAGAAATGTTCAGCATGTTTTATCATCATGAGACTTCCAATGTTTCCCAATTTGAACACCAGAAGTCAAGGGATCTCAAAATAAACCAGTTGCTTTCCCAAAGTCACATTGGGTAATTCCAGAAAACATCCATACCTTCCCCACAGAGAAAATTGGAAGTTATTCAATTTAAACCTCCTACCCCCTTCAGATGTCCTAATATTATACACTTACTATTTTCAGAGACAATTTTTTCTCCCTTCCGGACGGCAGAAATTTTCTCTGTGGGGGGAGTGTGGATCTTTGCCGGGACGACCCATTACAGTAAATAGGTATTAACCGGCCATTAAATACATTTTGCCTCAATGCAACTCATTAAGCTGTATTGCACCACCATTTATCATTTTACTCTATCCATGGCACATGATTGCACTTGAGGGTGCTGCCATTCAATGAGCTGAAATGGCCAATTTCTCACACACACAAACCCACCATTTCTTATTATAGTTATGGAAACAAGCAAATGAATTACACTGGTACTGAGAATACCTAATTGAAGAATATTGTAATGTTCTAACAACGTGTAGAGTGATTATGTACGTATCAAATTTTTGAATCAGAAGTTCAGTAGTATCAGAAAAGCAAATAAGCACAATTAGTTTAATTTTCTGATAGACTCCATCAATGAAATATATGATACATATAGATGCAAAAAATTTAATTTGTTTCATATGTATTGATGTTATTCACATATACAGTTTGTTTAGTGTTGTTTAGAGCTGTGCGGTTAACAGAAAGACTCGGTCAATCTGATAAATTTTTACAAGCAGAAGCTAGCTGGCACCAAACATGCACAAAAGAACTGTTATTTTTGGTTTTTCTTTTGTTATGTGTGTTAATTGCTCTGCATGTGTCAGAAAAATAAAACATCTGCTGAAGAAATAT